AATAAAAAAAATATATATATATATATATATATATATATATATATATATATATATAAATCAATAGTAAGGTGTATAAGGTTAAGGAAAACCATACCAAATAAAAAGTAGTCCAGACTCTTGTTCGGTACATATTCATATATAAGAATTTTAGTTTGCTTTTCAAGACAGAAACCAACAAATGTCACGAGATTTCTATGTTGAAGTTTAGCTATAACTGAAACTTCATTTTTAAACTCCTTTGCACCTTGGGTAGAATTTTTTGAGAGCCTTTTTACTGCTACGCGTTGTCCATCAAAAAGAATTCCCTGAAAATTAAATTACTTGTCATAAATAAAGTAAAAACTAAAGAAAGTAATTATACCACACTTTTTCACCTTATAAACTTCTCCAAATCCTCCTTTGCCAATCCTATTTTCATCTGAAAAATTGTTGGTTGCTGCTTTAAGTGTAGCCAATTTGAATTGTAGGGGCTCTAAAGTGAGACTTTCTTTACCAACTGGGTCATATTAACATTATTGAATTGTAAAACTGGTTAAGTTGTTAAACATGAAAACTTAAAAATTATATATCACATGTTTCTCTTTAATAATTAACAATACTTACAATTTTCTCTTAGGAGAGTCTTATTGCTCTTTTTCAGACTCTTATTGCTCTTTTTTGGTTTTCTCTTGATCAGATAGTAGCACAAAAAGATGAATGTTATAAAAACAGTTGTAGGTGCAATAATCAATATCCATATTCGCAATGATACTTTTCTTTTTCCTGCAAGAAAATGTACAGGTAGTAGTAACAGTCAATAAATCATGACAACTTATAATATACTGATATGAATATGATGAAAGGTTAGCTCCCCTCCAAATGGTAGTGGAGTTGTTCTTGTTGTGCATGTTAATTAGTATCTTACTTTCATCCATTACCCTTGTAATAATATATTTATAGATCAAAATTTCTGTTACTTTTTTTATATACCTTTAATTATCGTGTATATTTTCAAGTTGTGTATTTAGTATTAATAAAAACAAATTTTTTAATATAGACTAAAAGCAATATTAACTAATTTCTAATCAGATTTAAATATAAATAAATATATCTGTTTCTCGTCTCTTTGTCTCTCAATATAAAAGAGTGAAGAAATAAATGGATTTTTCTTTAAAAAATAAAATTGTTTTTCGCTTTCGTGAGTAGAAAGAGGGGCAATGTATATATATTTTAAACATAAATGACATCTAAAAATATATTAAAGGTGTTTCCTAAATACATGGACTAATTAAACCTATCGTTTGAGAAGGAAGATAAGCAAAAAGTCTAGTCAAAGAAGGAACACATGGGTAGAAATAGTATACGGGCAACATTTTATTATAAATATTTTATTAATATTTCTATATATTTTATGTTTCTATTACATCAGTTAGTTATTATATTTTTGAAGTCTCATTCTTAATAGATGTCAAATAACATATATGTGATCACTTTTAAGTGCTACTTACTCCTACCTATACCACTGTGTAACATATAAAAGAAGAAGATGATGTAGTAATGGTTGAGGAAGTCACACTGAAAAACCAAAGAATCATGATTTACAGCATAGTCCTTGTTCCCTTTCAACCCAATCTTTAACAACCTAAAGGAAACACGAATAATACTCTACAATGGCTACTCACCAAATAATAAGGCTAATAACAGGAACAAACTTACGATGTGGTCTGGTTTACCAACAAAACAAAACTACAAATGGAAATATCTACAAGAGACACAAGAGAGTTATAACCATACCTTTGCATGTAGCAGAACGGGGTCCATCCACGCAGAAACATCGAAATCCTCCATCTCCTTCATCAACTCCACACTCTCCACCAGAATTACTGCATTTCTCACACTTCCCGTTATCTCCCTCCCAATTCAACTCAAAACCATACCGTAACGCCTCGCTTATTTTCTTTTCAAGCACAAGTGAAGCGTTGGTTTCAAATATCGGAATCACCACAACCGCGCAATTCCCCGTGTACTGAGGTACAGGTAAGGGAGTGTAGTATACATTTTTATCAGCAACACAACTATGAGTAAGCAGATCCGTCTGTGGTAAAGAGGAAGATGAATCGGAAGGGCAATCATAAAAGAGCGTGACGTTACGAAGATCATTATATTGGTGATCATATTGAAAGTGAGTGTTATAAAAGGTGCTGTTCTTGTACTCACTCACACAGATACTATCCCAATAATCATCCCTGGTCATTGTTATTGTCTGTGTTGTATTACGCCAATCAAGAATACGGTACTTGGCATCGTTGATGGTTATCTTTGGGACTCGTTCTTCACACGTGAGCTTCTCTTCGCCGCAATAACTACCTCTGTTTTCTCCCGAGAAGGGGTACCTGAGATCCAGCTTGGTATCTCCGCATGTAAAAGCGTTACTACAGTTGGTGTACTGAGCATCATCGTCACAGAGATAGGTCGGAGCAATGGTTGAGATGAGCAACAGAACGAAGATGAAAGAAGAGTGAAGAGTTAGCTTAGGTTTCATTTTCGGAGGATGAGAAAAGATGTGGGAGGAGAAGGTGTATGCAGGGAGAGCAAAACGAAGACAAGGATTGAATTATATTACACTGGGAAGTCTCTGACCAGTTCGTTTCATCACTTTCAATGCATGTTAAATTTTCCACAATGCTGTTTCTAGGAAGCCCGAGCCAAACTGAAAGTTTGAATTTTGGAAAGGGTCAACCTGACGAAATCATAATCGTGATACACAGTTGTTTGAATGTGATAGATTATGTCCTGATAAGGTGATAAGTTTAAGGTTTAAATTTTATAAAATGTGAGGAGATAATATAACATTAACTATTCTTTTAATAATTTTAGAGACAAATATTATTAAGGATTTTATAAACTTTGGAATATATAAGTAATTTTTTTTATAAATTATTAAAAATAATATAATGTAATGCAATCTAAAAAAGAATTAAATTAGCATTTCACGGCATCGTTTGCTAGTAACATTGTAATGTGTAAATTTGACTATAATGAGTGGACCGATGTATTGTTACACAAAGTGACTTAAAGCAGGAAAAGGATTAGGGTTGGTGAGTTGCCAAAGACTCATTATTACAGGTTTTATTCGAATGAAAAAAACTAAAAAACTTTATAATATTGAACTAAAGTCAATTCGGTCCACTTAATCACGTTAGTAAATGAGTTTCAATAGGGTTAGTTTATGTTACTTGTTTAAACACAAAAATGTATAAGTATATTGACATTTTAATGATGTTTGTGCGTCAACTTTTTTTAATGGTTAATTAGTTTTTTTCTAATGATAATATTAAATTATTAAATGATATAAGTTTTCTATTTGTCACATTTGAATGGCGAATTATTTAAACTTTTTTTTAACCAAACTGCTTAATACTTTTTTAATATTATTTATTTGTATTTGAAGAGTTTGAATTATTGAAGATCTGATAGAAAAATTCCATGCAATGTTGATTTATTTATTTTAATTTTGTATTAAATTTAGTAAATCATCTCTCTAAAGATATCAAATCAGATTGATTTGGTCTATCCAAAATTTAATATGTAGTAGATCATTCTGTCCGAGTCAGGTTACACGTGATATCTTTAAATAAATTTAAAAGTGTATTTAAAGAAATCAATAAAAAAAACTTATAAAATATTTATAAAAAGTATTTCAGAAAAAAGGTGCATGAGTTAAGTTTTATGCCATGTTAAATATTTGGTTACGTTTTCAGAATATGAATATCCAATCTATTCACAGTTAAATGAAAAATAGGTATTAAACCTTCAATGAAAAAACCACTCACACTAACAATAAGTTCAATCCATATATAAATAATTAACATGATTTTTAATCCAAATCTTTAAAACACGGTCTTCAATACAAAATTTTAAAAACATAAGTTTATGATTTTTTTCATCTTTATAAATTATTCAGCTTCATCTTTTGAAATTAAAATTAATTTGAAAAATTGTAAATTCAAAAAATAAGAAACATTAAGTTCCACTGATCTATATTCTTAGGATATATGTTTTTAATCAGAAATTATAGTAAAATAAGTTGAAATTAAAATAAGATATAGGGATAATAGTTTTCTATATGCAAAAAATGAACTTTTATTTCGTGCATTTGTTCTTGAATTTTCCCCAAAGCTAGAGTGGCTATATCTGTTGTTTACAGAAGTGATTGACATTTGTAAGGAATTGAATATCAGACTCAAACAAAGGAATAAAATGAAAAGCCTTGATTTCCTCTAACAATCATTGGATTCAAAGGACCACATGGTACCAATTGACAGGCAACATAGAAAGAAACAAAAGTTGGTTGAGTTGCATGATCAATTAACGAGAAAAGGAACAAAATGATGAAGTGAAAGTCATTGAGGAGTGACAAGGCCATGTATCTTTATGTCCAATACTTCTGAACAAATCTGCCCCATTGTGTGATAGAAAGACAAGAGCTCTGACAACTGTTCCACTGACATTTTCCTCATCACTCCTCTTGCCATCTTTTCCCTTTCCTCATTCAGTTTCACTCTCTCTTTGTATGATCTTGCATTTCTAACCGTTGCACCCATTTGCTTTAGTCTGTTCTCTTGCTGCACACTCAAGGCTGTGTTCGACTGCAAAATTCATCAATCAGTACACAGAAAAACAAAAAACTGATAACTTTCATATTCCTTGCACAAACAAAAATGATTCACCAATAACAGAGAAAAAGGAAATGTATGCATTTCATAGGTACTTTATAACTGATCACTGTTCACGAGGTTTTATATACATATATCCTCACTTGCTTGAATGGCAATTAGATAAAGTTGTATCTAAATTCTGTCCTTATTCTAAATGAACCGAAAAGTTGAGAAAAATAGTTTAATTGTGCAACTCAGTACCTCAAGAAACTCTGCTCCAATTTCAAGTTCAGAGTCTCTGGGGGAATTGGTTCCACGGCCAGCGTTGTAGAGGTTTTTGGCAAGTGAGAAACTACGCACTATAATCTTCCTTTTGTTTTCCATTTCCTTATTAAGCTTAACAGGCTTTTGGACTGTTGTTAAGCTGTTCAACTTCTTCTGATAAGCAACAACCGCCTTTACAAATTCCTGCACTTTCAATGAAATTGCAAATGTTAAATCAACTCTAGCCAATATATGGACCAATAACATTCAACAGATCTCGAAAAAAAGTGATGTATTTTCAAACCTTATAAGCAAAGGGGCATCCTGGGTAATCAAACTCCTCCGAATCAGGCTTCCTCATACGCTCAGGGTGAAATTGCAATCCCATAATGAACTTACCCTCATCTGGATTATAAGCATCAGGGTCATAAAACCCTTCAATCAATCCATCAGGTGCAAAGGCCATTGGAACAAAACGCTGTGCCAATCTCTTCACCCCTTGATGGTGATAGCTATTAACCCAAATATCCATTTTTCCATCTTCTAAAGAATCCTTAAACCAATGATGCAAAGGGGTGTCCTCAACCACTTCCACATCGTGCCTATGCCCATCATAATCGTCATAGTTTATATGCATCACCCTTTTATCCTCTGGACACTTGATTGAAAGCTCTTTCCCTATGTCCTGGTAAAGGGTACCCCCACATGCTACATTAAGAATCTGTGAGCCCCTGCAGATTCCCAAATAGGGAATGTTCCTCTCCAGGCATAGCTTCGCCAGGCTCAACTCAATCGAGTCTTTTTCTTTATCAATGGCCGTGTCACTCACATGGAGCCTTCTAATCTCTTCCAATTCCTCTTGTGAAAGACCCGAGGTATCTTCTTCGTACCAAGAGGGATCAATGTCCTCCCCTTCGCACAGAAGCACGCCATGGATTGGCTCAAAGCTATCCAACAACATGTGCACCCCAGAAACACGAGGAACAATCACGGGCACGGCGCCATACCCTACTATAAGATCCAGGTGATATTCACCTGAAAAAAAAATCACGTAATAACAAATTTTATCATGTTAATTTCCTTACATTATTGAAAAATAATTAAGAAATTGCATACATTATTCATACAAGAACAATTTTTTGACCACTCCCAATTGCACCGAAGCAGATTTGATTGAAACACGAAAGAAAAAAGATGGAAACATAACCTACCGACGAAATCAACGAACTTGTTCTTGCGAACGCTTCGTCTAGAGACAATGAGAACACGAGGGAGAATGACGGAGAGATCGGTGGACATTGGTGCGACGATGGAGATTTGTTAACGGCTACGATGCGTATATTCTGTACGAAAAGGTGAGGGCTTTTTGGGCACAATATTTATAAACGATGGTATTAGAAATATGGATAAGGATGAGGAGTAGGATTAGGTTTTGGAATTGATAATTAATGAGCGTTGATGAAACCGTGGATTTCGTTAGATACAGCTGACAGGGCCTGCAAGAGATATATACTGAGATAAACAACGTTGGAGCGCAGAAAAACAAGCAAACTTTTTCGTGCCTCCGCGTATGATCGACGTTTTCACAGCTTTCGATTTCGTTTTGTTCTTTCTCATGTATTATAAATAGGTTGCTAGCCACCAATTAGTTTTTACGCACGTTGGTTCTAAATAAAAATTCTATCTGTTGACCGTTGACTTAAATTTTGGAGGCTTTTGATTTGATAAGATCAGAATTATCCTTACTTTTTTAAAAATATATGATCAGCACGTTAGCTTTTATAGTTAATATTTTAAATTGTATTTTTATTACCTGATAAATGGTTATGGATTGATATATAGTAAAATAAAATAATATATCATACTCTTCCTAATGATTTCATATCCCTTATCTTATTTTGTGTAACTGTCAAATAATAGTATGCTAGTAACACTACAAGAAAAAAAAAACTCATTTTTTTACCATTAAAATACGTAGGTAAGTTAAAAATCCGTAGGTAATAAAATGTTATTTATAGATTACTTATGAAAAAAAATTATAAATAAAATAATCGTAAGTAAATTTATATGAAGCTAATTAGATAGAAAATAATTTAATTTTACGAATTTGAGAAAAATGAATGAGGGAGCACAATAACATGCAAGACACTTCGCTACTATTTTAGTAACTGAAGAGCAACGTGGCACTTTGGTGGGTCAAACATTGAATTGGGGTTATAAGTTCTATATAAATAGCATGAGTTGATTATTAATATTAATATTAATAAGCTGAGAATATGAAGAAGAACTTATCAAGTTTTGGTACATTAATTGGAATAAAAAATAATAATAATATTTTAATACATACAATTTTTTATATTCATTTAATATTATTTTTCATTATATTTTTTTCTTTTTTGTATGTATCATTAAATAAAATGCTCTTTGTAGTCTTTGCTTTAATCATAATTATATGCCATTTGAGTGATGTTCAGTTCACAGCGTAACAAGGTTGACCCTGATGCAACGAAGAAAAAAAAAACAACCTATGCGTACGTTAGCAATTAGAAGTGCAATTGGGATACGATACAATTTGCTTCGTCAATGCCTACGCAATAACTTCATCCAATTAGTAATTAATTTCATAATTAAAGATTGTAATTGTTGGCAATCATAGTATCAAATAATAAATTTAGATGCTCAAAATAGGATAAGATGATATTTTGAATTGAAATTTAAGTACAAATTTTGAATTATTAATTAATTGATTGATGTAATAGTTAATTTCTGTAGTCATTACTGATCTTCAAATTTAGAAGATATAATTAATTTCTAAATCATTTACAAATTTAAATATTTTTAATTAAAACTTGATTAAAAAATTGATTATATTAAGTGATGTTAGTTAGTGTAGTCTATTTGATTTTGTAGTCTTAAAAGTACAATAATGTCAACTTAAACAACAATAAACATCAAGTTTTAGAAATTTTTACTAAAGATGTTTTTATTGTTTAAAATTTTTACTACGTTGAGCTCTTGCAAAGCAAAAAACTACGCGAACTATAAATTCTGTGTAAAAAGTAAAAATAAAGAGTTATATGATGACAGTTGTACTAAGAACTATCGTCACTAAAAACTGTTAGAAAAACAACAACAATTTTTAATTCTAACTATCGTTATAGAAACCTCGATTGTTGTTCATTGAACCGTTGTAAAAAAGAAGGCGAAAATTAAAAAATTTGCCCTTGTCCTTTAAAAAGTAATATTATAGATATTTAAAATAAAAACTAATCATACCTAAGAATTATTATAAAGTATATGTTAATCTTCAATACTAATATAAACAATTAAATTATAAAATGTATATTAGTTGGTTATTTAAAGTTAAGGGCAACAGATAATAAAAATCTAAAACGTGTTTTTGACTTATCTATTTTTAAATTGATGAATTACTTTTATAATTTTTTTCAAAATATTTGATTTTAGTATTTCTTTTATACGTATTTGTAATGATATTTTTTATCATCATGAAGTTGAGGTAATAACTAAATTCGTATATTTTTATAAAATTAATTCATTAATACGAAATTATAAAAAACAAAATAAAGTTTTACAAAAACTATGGAGATATTTTTCTCATAAGAAATCGACATCGCAAATATTTTCTTAGACAAATAAGAAACATTTAGGCATTGTAATAATAATAAAAAAACTCAAGGTCTATCCGAAAGTGGAACGAAGCTTCATTAGAAGAAAACATTGTATCTCTAGTGTGTAAATTAAATTCTTAGAAGAAAAAATTGTATAAAAATGTCTGAGCCCGGGTTCGAACCGGGGACCTCTAGTGTGTGAGACTAGCGTGATAACCAACTACACCACCCAGACAATTCCAAGCTTGTGTCTCGTAACTCATACATTTCATTAATATATGTTTTCATCATTGTGTAAATTTTTTAGAAGTTTTTTAAACAGATATCTTAATTCCATATTTAAACTAAAATGTTATATCTCTAATATTAGTTTTTGAAGACTTCAAATTGCTAAAATCTAATTATATAAAACGGTTTTATATCCAGAGACATAATTAAAAAAAAACACTGAAAAGATCAAATATCCTATCAAGACAATTTAATTTAATAACTTAATTATATAAACATTTTCAAGTAATAAGGAACCAATTCAATGATTTTATTAGAGTGTAATTGTAGTTTGTAATTAAATCATATTGATAACTCCTATAATATGATTGACAACTGTTATTAGAAAGTTAAAAGTTAAACACGTTATTAATCATTTTTATCGAAAATTTCACACCGTAATTACATAAATTGATTTCAGACTATATATAATATATAAATTAATGCAAATTTCACGTTACAAAAGTAAATTAAAATAGATTTAAAATCTATTTCTTAAATATTTTAGGAATGAAAATGATTAATTATATGTCACTCTGAACATCAGTAGTTCTTTATTTATAGCAGTGAAGAAGACAGATATAGATGATTCCTGGTGAATACAACATGTATACTAGTAGTGTATACACCATATTCAGCTGTAGAACTCTTACAACACGTCCAAAGACAGCAACGTATAATACGACAGAAACGTAGAGTGACAGCGTATGCAAGCTTAACTTATACACAGAAAGCATGTGTATAAATTAAACCGTGTTATTAAATTTGTCTGCGTATTTAGCACTTTGGGTAGGGAACCCCACAAGCACTAAGGACCTTTTTGGCATTAGGAGAATTGACATACTGCTTAAGGGAAGGGTTTTGGAGGTAACCACATAAGCATGGTTTTTGCTGCTTCAGCTTCGTACAGCAAGCACCTGAGGGTGAAGAGCCGGAAGTGATTGCCGGAAGACACGGTGATAACTCGGCTGGGGAGCAAGCAGCCTGAGCCAGAGGTCCCACATCGATCAGAAGGAGTGCCACAAGCACCACTGCAGACACAACGGACTTTTTCATCGTCATCTTGCTAAAACAATTGAACACAACAGAAGAAGAAAGAAAGAAGGGTAATTCGTTAATGGTGAACTGAGTGACCGACACTGAAAAATGTGGCAGTGGAAGAGTCATATATATAAGAAGTGAAGAACAGAAAGTGGTGGTTGTGGTTAGTGGTTTGGTTTCAATTAATAATGATGGATTGTATATCGGTGGGAAGTGAATGGGAATGACCCCACACCATTAATGGAAGGGGCGTTGGGATGATATTTCTCAGAATTATTTTTGCATTAACGCCACCGCAGATTTCGTGGCATTCAGTAGTGGTTTCTGTGTAATCATACTACTATAACATTAACCTTAATTTCAATGCAATGGACCCTACATGTTTCATAAGTACTATGAAAAATCAAACACTCAGATCTATACTTAATGTATTTCCGATGTGGGATTCGTAAGTAATTTTTTTATGTTATTTATTTCATATATTGTTTGGTATATAGATTTTTTTTACGGGTAATGTTAATATCTTGTTAACGACGAGTTAAATTTACAATTTCTTTTGTTTTTTTTTTAACTTTTAGCTTAATATCACTTTTGGTTTCGTCAATTTTATTTAAATTTAAATTATTTTTTCTATTGAATTTGATTTTTAATTTTATAATTTATATTTAATTTAGCACATGAATGATAAAATGTCGACGTGAGCAATGTGTATATGATAGTTTTTGGCTCATATAACCACTTAAAAACAAAGTGATATAAATTTGTTAAATTTAATCAAACATTTAAGTGGTCACATGAATTATGATGTAATCCATTAATTGTATGTCAAAAACCAAATTAAATATAAATTACGAAATTAGAAATTATTACATTAAAAAAATAGTCTTATATTAAATAAAATTAACAAATATATTGATCAAAAGTGATATTAAGCTTTAATTTTATTAAATTAACTTTATAACTTTTAAGTATTCTTAAAATAGAATTTGGTATCTTTTAGTTTTCGTTTTCAATTTTTTGCTTTTAAGAAAATGTTGTAGGGTTTATGCTTGAAGTAAGTTAACTTTTACACGGAATCAAACTTTGATATGCTAATTAGAGGGAGCGTTTATGATAGATTAAAAGTTATAGTTGATAGGAAATTTATAGTTTGAAAACGTAACCGTTAAATCATCACAATTCAAGGATAACTTAACCTATCTTATCTTTCTCTGTCACAAAAGAATTTATTCTACACCATTTTTATCATTCTTTTATATTATCATATAATACTATATTTAGAAACTATAGAAGAGTATTTCGTTTTACGTATTATTACAATAGAAACTTCTCTTTTATTTTTTAAGGCAACACCTTTTAAGACAGTAGTCAGATAAAACTGTGTTTATTAAATTACTGGCGATTTGGAGAGGAAAAGAAAAAATTTAAACAGAAAATTTAAATGATTTGTAGTTCTATTATCTATTTTATTCCTTATTTGAAGATGATACACTCGGAACTTTTTTTTAATGAAAAATCTTTCTTAGTTAAATATACATTCTTCTTGAATTTTATTGCATCTCTAAAGTTTAATTATTAATGATAATTAATTGGTTAAATTAGTCATTTAATTTCAATTCTTGTTAGAAAGTTAAATCGATCTTCACTTAGGTTTTCGTTTCAATTAAGTTTCAAATTAGGTTAAAATACTCCGATCAGATCCTAATGTTAAAATCGATTCAATAATAAATATACTTATTTAGTGATTGATATGTACATGACATTGAAAAATGTCAAATTTTGCTTGATAATAATGGACCATGATATTTTAATAATTTTTCTTAATAATTTTTTAATAATAGACGATGTGTCACTATTTTATTGATCCGTATATTTTAAAATTGATTAATCACACGTTATCACATAGGTTGTTTTAAAAAGTTGTTAAAAAAATTGTTAAAGGGACTTTTTCATAATAATATTAACAAAAAAATGTCAAACCTTCGGGTCTTCTTCCTCTGTCTCTCGTTGTCACCACTTTTTAGGTGAGTTTAATATTTATATCTTTAATTCATTTACGAATGTATTTTTTTTAATCGATTGAGTATTTATTTCTTAAAATACACTCAATTAAGTTTTTATTTTTATAAATAAAACTTAATGTAATTTTTTTCTTTAAATTAACTTTAATGCTTGTTGAAAGTATCATATGTCAATATCTAAGTTATTTTTTATTTTGAAGAATTCATTTATTAATATAAAATATGTTCAATGGTAAAAGATGATTTAAATTTTGCACTAATAAAAAAAATTTTGATACTAACACTTCCAATAATATTACATCAATTTAATAAGAAAATGTTGTGTTAAATGTTTTTTTAGAAAAATAACATCAAAATTGAATTAAAAACTAATAAAAAACTAAAATGAATGAAAAGATGAAACCAAATTACTATTTTAAGATAAAATAAATATATATGTATATATAAATTAATTTAATAAATATAAGTGTATTTATGAAGAAGACAGGGAAGTTGTTAGCCGTTAGACGTTGCTGTGAGGATTAGTTATAGATACTGTGCTTCCGACTAAGCTATTCAATTTTAGAAAACGATATTAATGTATGCATGAATACGTGTACCATGCCAGGGCCTGGGCCTGGGCCCCAGCATTTTTCTAAAAAAGATAGAGAAATTGGTTATATGTTTGATAATTCGTTTTCGAGTTGGTATAGATAAATAAGCGAGTAAATTATAACTACACTTAATTATAATAAGAGAAAAAAATATATGAAATATGACTTGTAAATAAATCAATGAATAAATTATAAAATTATAGGAAAATGCATATCTAGTAACAATATGTTGTGTTGTCGGTTATGTTGTCGGTGAAGGGTGAAAATGATCTAGAAGAGAAAGATATTGCATGAAGGAAGCATCACTATAAAGTGAGGACGAAATTAATTTAATAACCAAAAAGATATGTTGTTTGGTATACTTGTAAAAACTATATGAACTTTAATTGAATCAATTTTAAATAACTTCCAGATTTGAATATGTTTTAATAATTAAAAGTATAAAAATGATAAAAGTATTATTCTGGTTTTACTTCTATTATTTTCAAACAGTTTTTTTTAATTTTTTTTGCTAACTATGGTAAGATTAAAGCTAAAAAAGAAAGGAAAAATAATAACTAATATAATTAAAGTATAGAATATTTCAAATTAAAATAATTATAATTTTAAACACATAATTTCATTAAGTAATATATCTTTTATTTAATATAAATAAGGTGATTATATATATTTTTTAAGTCTTTCGTATAATTTGCTTTCAATATTGTATTTTTATAAAGTAAATTCTTTTTTACTTAGAGCTTATAAATTATTTATTTTTACCTTAATTTTTTATATTATAATATTTAATAATTATAAAATAAATGTTGAATATATCATAAACAAAGGTTTTATCTGTAAAGATAAAAATAAGAAATTATGTTTGAACTTTTTGAATCAATAAATAACATAAAAAAATACCAGTCTTTCTTTTTATCCTTACACAATTCAAAACTAATACAAAATATTTGACTTGAATATACTGTAAATCCTTACAAATATTGTCCAATCTAAAAAAAATCATCTTAATGTTTATGTTTAATTAACGTTTTAATTACATTTTCTTCTTGTCTTCTTTCTTGGCTGTTTTGGAGGCTAAACCGGCACCAAATTACATTACCAAATTGAGTTGTCCAAACATAAACGCACTTATCATTAGGATCAGCTTCGCAATGAGTCACAAGTTCCTCTAAGCACAATTTCGTTCAACAAAAAGAAACTAAAGTGAAATTGTTTCTAACCTTGTGTATTAACCATCAAACAATACGCCGAGAGAACCAGTTGAGTTCTTAGAATGTTCTTTCTCTATCCATATAAGAAATTAAGAGTTCTCTCCCATTCCTTAAAATATCAGTACAAAATCAAACATCAGTCATACGATAATTCATTGAATAATTCACAAATCTACCGTGCTCATTCAAATCTCTCCGGTCCCTGACACATGGCCTAATAAATTCATAGTAGATCATTACACAGCAAAAATACGACAATCCTGCAGTAAAATATTTATCTATATTTTCCCCTTCTATCTAAAGAAAAGACTGAAAAATATTTTGTTTTATTATATAGAAATGACTATAATATTTAGGAAACAACAGTGTTCAATCTTACCTATTGGGACAAATCTTAGTTGTTATTTGTAAATTACCATGCAGAAATACATCTTATTGATTGTGACCTTCCTCTGGAGCCTTTGCCTTGCCACGAAGCATCTCGCTGAAATTACCCATCATGATGCGCTTAAATCTAGTGTCTTCTACCGGCAATGGTGAAGCGGCTTTGGGAGACACGGTGGCTTCTGATGATAGCTCTGCGGTTTCTTTCTTTCCGAGTAACCCACCCTCACCAAAGAAGCTGGTGACTGATGATGGAAGGCCAATATGAGCCCCCATCACCTTACTAATAGTCTCAAAAGTTCCTCCTGATCTTTCCTTCATAATAATTTCAAGGGCCTCTTTGTGTGCTGGATCCAGTGCATCTGGGTCTTTCAAGAGATTCTGTATAGCAGGCAGGAAGGAATCCCGAACACCGTTTGCAGGAAGATCTACAAGAGAAGCAATGAGATGTAAAGAATCAGTAAAACAGTTTTTCCATGGAAAATTAAAAGTCGTATGCTAGCTCAAGGGTGTAAATGAGTCCGCTTCTCAGGAGTTTGGGCTTGACTTGTAGAAAACAAAGTTGCTTAAACTTGACTAATTTGCTTAAAGAAGTCAAATTTAGAGCTTTCGGCAAAAGAATTAACAAATGAAATTAATATTTTAAATTTCATACAAAAATATTATGCCATTTCTTATATACCCCTTGTCTTTCATATTAATTATATTTCTCATATACAATCAAAATAGAACATGTTTTATTTTATAAATTGTCAAACAAAACAAGACAAATGGAATATATGAAAAAAATCTAGTAATCTTGAAACAAGTAGACTATGTTAGAGATTATCTTTATACCTAAAACATTATGTCAACAATAAGAATAGCTAAATAGTGCTTGTGGACACAAGATTAGTAGAATTTTTAAATGAAAC